TCTATTCTATTCTATTCTATTCTATTCTATTCTATTCTATTCTATTCTATTCTATTCTTTTTCCTGCAGCTTCTTCTAAATTCACCAAATTGTTTAATAATTTGCCATATATCTGGATTTCAATGACCAAATATGAGTTATTTTAATTTAAAAATAATATAATTTTCCCTATTTTTTTATTAATGTATTTTAGAGTTGTTATTTTGCATCCTGACCTACTTTCATGGAGAGAAAAAGTTCTGCTCCATGAGCGYCAGTTACCACCAGATGGCGCTGGTTCTTTGTTTATCCAATTATAGCGCAATTGATCCAGGCGCTTTCTTGGAAGAGATCATTCCTGCCCTGTGTAGGCAGTGTGACAAGAGCTGTAGTCTTTATAGGCATGCTGTCTCCAGCCATTCGTATAGAAATATAACAAAGCGGATGCCAGTGAGGCCTCGGAGGGCGATGGGAGGGAGCGCAGGTGAGCCGACKTGAGCGCGCGGCACGTGGGAACTCTGGTCTCACTCCCACCAAATCCGCTTTTTGACAGTTTGAGGGCAGACTCCGGGGCGCAGGCAGGGAGGGACATGTCAGGGGACGGCATGACAGCTGCGCGAGGAGCCCACTCAAACAACGCGAGTCCCGCTTCACCCAAGGAGAACGGACAGCCGGCTCAGCCCAACTTTCCCCATCCCTCAGACGCGAGCCCAGCCGCCGCGGACCCGTGCTCAACAACGGGCGAGCTGACCCAAACCTGGGTCCACTTTGTGAAAACATTCGTGCTCATCTTCCCCATATACGTTCTGGGCTATTTTGAGTTTAGTTTCAGCTGGCTGCTGATTGGACTTTTTATCTTTTTCTGCTGGAGGAAGATCACCGGAGGGAAGCACACCCGGCTGAGCCGAGCTCTGGCTTTCCTTGACCAAGAAGAGGAGCGAAGTGCCAAGCAGGGTCTCTCAATCTCTGATTTACCACCATGGGTAAGAAAACAAACCCGTTACCACGGTTAAAGCTGCCTTTTCTTGCACCACTATTCTTGGCCACTTTGAGTTTCCAGGAAAATAAACCATCAGCTGAGCAGATCAGGTGTGGCAGGGGCTGAGCTGTAAAGCTGCGATGAAGRCAGCTGTCCTCCCCAAACAGTGACATGATCTGTCCCAGTCTAAATACAGAAGGGTACAATGGTGAACCAGACACCACTCTGGGAGAAAAACATGTCCACGGGGTCTCTTGTTATTTTAGGATCCAGGGTGACCATCTCTGCTGCAGAAACTCAGCCTGATCTGCAACACTTTGTCTCAGTAAAAGTGTCAATAAAAATAAAATGATCTCATCAAAGCCCTGCAGCAGCATCTCGTTTGCCAATCTATGAGGAAGCTTTGATGAACTGTCATCTAAAATTAGTTTAAAACTCAATAACAGATATGTTAATGTGTCACATTACAGGTGTCTGATTATGTAACAACACTTACCTTTAAAGCATTGAAAGGAGATGTGGAAAGTTATATTAAAACCACCCTTTATTATATATACGGTTTAAACACTTTTTTGTTTGTTCTGGCCTTAATAGAGCAGAATTACAAAATTATCTTAGGTTAACAACTCGCTTTAGCTTGCATTAAAAACAAAATTGGTTCCATAATTGGCTGATTTTTAAGATCAATCTAAACTCGATCGCACTGTAAAACCTCTGACCTACTCAAGGCTTTTTTATATATAAAGTACCAAGCCCAGACTCACTGTGAGTCCTTTTTAATGCATTATTGTGTTGTGAAAAAAGTTAAAAGCACATTTTGCTGACATGCGACTGACGGTGCATAGATGCTGTAAAAATGGGGGGGATGGAGGGGGTGAAGAGGTCAGATGAAGTGGAGTAAAAGCATCCCACTTTAGGCAATAAAGCTCTTCTGTCTTTTACAGCTGGGATTTATCTAAGAGAGTGCTTTATTTTGGTCATACCTGTTGCAGCTAGTCAGTTTGGACCACTGAAATAGTAGTTTGAGTGCTCCAAACAAACAATCTGAACACGAGTTAAAGTACGTGCTCATATTTCTTTTACTTTAAATCTAGAGTTAGACCAGGGATGTCAAACTCCTGTCCTCGAGGGCCGCTGTCCTGCATGTTTTAGAGGTTTTCTTGCACCAACACACCAGATTTTGATCGCTGGGTAATTAACAGGCTTCTGCCCAATTTGAAGAGTTAATTCAATCACTGAATCAGGTGTGTTGGAGCTGGAAAACCTCTAAAACATGCAGGATAGCGGCCCTCAAGGACTGGAGTTTGACACCCCTGAGTTAGACTGTCTAAGTAGAAGACAGCCTTGACAGTTTTTGTTGCTGTCAATAATGTAGTGCCCTTATTCCCAGGCTTCATTTGCTAAAGTGCATTCTTTTGTATTCCAGATTATATCCTCAGCTCTTTTTATTCAAATTAACCCAGGGACTGTCTGGAGTGGAACTATGAACATGTCTGCAAGCCTTTCGTAAGGTTTCTTRTGCAATGCCTTATCACTAAATGTTTTACACAAGAAGAGAGACTGAAATGTTTGTCCAAAGTGCCACTGTCAGTCTTTTCAGTTTTTGGGTGATCAGATCTGAAACTAAATGCACAGACCTGTTAGGTGCCATGCAGATCTGCAGATAGAAGAAAAAAAATTCAGTTGGAAAGAGAAAGAAGTACTAGCAAAGTGCATCATTTTAGTTGTTTATTTCTGTTTTACCTTTTAAACCAATTTGACCTGGTATTAATTGGTTCTAGTGCTCTTTCTTTTGTTAGACACTAAGTTGTTTTATGTCTCTTCCGGACATGTTTTGACGTTTTACTTCCACTTCATCGCTGTCTTCACAGCTGATCACAGCTATGACACCTCTGATGATGCAATGAATTTCATCGGATTGGTTCTAGTGCTAGTTTATAACAAATATTAGCATTATTAATTTTAGGACCCGGAAACTGGTGTCACCAATGCCTTGCCAGTGGTGGAGCCAGAGGGTGGCCAGTGGTGGCCATGGCCACTGCAGAAAAAGGGGTGACTTCAAGGCCACCCCACACCGGCCACCTCAACTGCTGCTTTACCCACGGCAAAAACAGAGTAATTTAGTATACGCTGTTAAGTGTCAGGAGGATTGTGATCAGTTACACATTGGGGAAACAAAACAACCACTGTTCAAAAGAATGAACCAGCACAGACGAGCTAATTCGTCGGGTCAGGACTCTGCAGTTTACACTCATCTACAGGCCAACGGTCACTCTTTCAGGGATGAAGATGTTCTCATCCTTGATAGAGAGGAACGTTGGTTTGAGAGAGGAGTAAAGGAAGCCATCTTTGCGAAGAAAAACCGTCCACCATTAAACAGAGGTGGAGGCCAGCATGTCCAGTTGTCCTCCTCCAACAATGCTGTTATTGCAAGTGTGATTCAGCCCCCTGTGAGCAAAAGGTGTGAATCAGGGCCCCAATGATACCCAACACAAAGAGGGAAAGAGAGACAAAAACAAGGGAATGTTAAAAAAACCCTTGCACTACATACACATAACAAAACACCAAATAACCACAGCATCCAAACCAATAAGTCAGGTGATGGGGCACATGACCCTCTATGAACAATAGAGCTAATCAAGCCTATTGTTAGTCGATGACCCTCTTTTGCATGTGACTAACCTGTTTGTCCACCATGTGGAGGTGTGCTTTTAAGGCTGAGTTCACCAGAAACCCATCAGACTGAAGAAGTCTCTTGGAGGAGAGACAAAATGTTTCATTAAAGAAGAACCCATCCAGAGGACCTACTTTATTTTTTTCTTTTTGATTTGCCAGCAGTGTTTTGGCAAATACAAAATAAGTTTACACAGAATGTTCAGTTGAACTGCACTGCTCAACCATCTGAACAGGTGGTGACTACACAGAAGCCTTTGAGGCTCAAAGCCTCTCTAAGATGTTACAATAGTAATATTATACTCAGACAACACATTACCTTTATTTAGATGGCAACAGTGATATTTCTATATTATCTAAAAGGGATTTTAGACAAGTAGCTCTGAATCCAAAATTGAATGCAAAATTATTTCTAAAGGTTTTGGGGAAAAGTGTAATTGATGCTCAAATATGGCTTTGTTAGCACATTTCCACAACAACGTTGGAGGTCCACAAGTGTCTCTCTGTGGTCGTGATAACTTTTTCTGTTTGGAGTTTGTTATTGTGTTTAGATTCATGTCAGATGTTTAGCAACTTGTTCTTATGTCTTATATGATGTAATAATTTTGCAAAATGGAGAAAACGCTTCAGTTGTAAGTCAAATGACCGCGTGACCTAGAACCAAACACAACCAAACCTACGACAGGATCTGGGTCAGGCTCTGGCTCTGAACCAGAACTGAAACCGGCATATTCAAAACAAGTTTTTTTTTTGTCTCTTTTGCTTTTGTTTTGACTCTATGCACAAAAGTTGCGCTTCTCCTTTTGTTACTTTTGCATTTCTTCTAGTCAGGCTCAGTCTTTAGTTATTTTGTGAGAATTTGCTCTTATTTTATTTTTATTTCAGCTCCTCTGTGTCTTATCATGGTTGCTTTGCATTCCTCTGAACCCATTTTGCATCTAGGAGTGGTCCTTTTGTTTCAATCTCTACAGTCGTCCTTGTTTTGTTGGGCTGTGGTTTTAATAAATGTCTTGTCTTTTATTTGTGATAACCTTTCTTCTTCATAAAAACTTTCTAAATAAAAGGCCTATCGTTCTTTAAAGGAATTTCCCACAACCTTTCATTCCAAAATTTTAAATTAAGATAATCTAATGTTAAGAAGTTGGAGCTGTAGTCATTTAGGTCAAACATATATGTATGTAAAAAAACATTCACAAACCTGTGAGTCATCCTGCAAATGTGTGTTTTGAATAACTCGGCTATGACCACACCAAATTTAGCTAATTTTCTGCAAAACTGACTAAATGACTAAATTACTTCCTGAAAGTTTAATCAAAATCTTTCCACTGGAAAGGAGGTATTTTGCTAACAGTGCTTCAGCGCCAGGCGATGATAATAAACCCATTGGATAGAAATTTGATCAGACTGCTTATTTTATCACACATTCAAGACAAAAAAACAAAGTTTTTAAGGAATGACATCACTTCAACAATGATGGCCCAAACCGAACTACTTGTATTTTCAGTTTTATGAGCCAGTAGCTATGATGTGTTCTATCAAGTAAATGATCACCTCACTTGTAGTTTCAGACTGTTTGGCAGTGCTTCTTCCACTTATATTAAACTACCGGCCTGGGCTGGAACTTTCTGTTCCCCATCGTCCTGCTCTTGTCACCGGTCCATCAACACTTTGGACACAAATGCTGCACAAGCACCGTTGCTGACTGATGATGTGCTGCCTGTTGTAGCTTTTGCATCGTGTGCTTAACCTCCTCCAGCACTTCCTGGCAGTTGGATCTCGTCGRGACTTTCCGTTGATATTCAGTAACAAACGGCTTAAACTCAGCGACTGACTTGCAGTGTTTGTATAGCTTTCGATGAAGGGGTGTGTGCATCGCTGCACTTTGTTGCACTGACTTTATTTCAGGGGTTTGCTTGATGTGAAATCAATGCCTGATTTACTTTGGTCGCCCAAGATGATTGGTCGAACTTCAGCTGAAGCATGAAGATGTTGTCGAGGTCTGAGAAAGCCAAATAGGTCAGGACAGAAGCATCACAAAGCACCTGACGTACTGTATTTACGTGTTCTGTATCACTGCAAAAACAATCCTTACAGTTTGTGAGTTTTTAAGTCAGAAGTGATTTCAGGTGTATTGTTTCATTTTAAAATGGACATAAATATCATGGGGAAAAAACAACTTTTTAGCTGTTAAATGCATTTTTGTCTCTAGGAGTGCAGAAAAGTTGAACTGAGTCCCTCCCTCAAGTTCTGYGTAGATATCTCTATTTCCTGTTTGGGTCTTATTTTTCAACTTGTTCAGTTTCCTCTATTTTTTAATGGCATTGTCTGAACTATACCATTGAATTTGAGACAGAACTGAACTTACCAACTACAATTTGGTCATCTTCATTCTCCTCTGGCTCTGGGTCAGACTCTGGCTCCAACATGTAAGGCTGGATGGACAAGTCTTCCCTTATTGACATCTTTTAAGTCAATGGTTCCCAACCTTTTTAGACTTACCCCCTGTACGGCCTGAGCCATTTTGTCATAMCCCTAGTACCCCTTCAGTCAAACGTATTGATGATTCTCTAAAAATATAATGTGCTACAACAAATTTTTAAATGAAAATCATTTATTTAACCCCCTATAACATGTAATTCTCAGGCATTTTTTTTATTTTTTTTCAACTCAAATTAAATATAAAGATAAAAATGTTGTCTTGAAAGTAAATAAGTAATTAAATAAATAAACCAGGTAATGGCAGGTGCAGAAAACAGCAGCATCCAAAATACATTGTATTGTCCAAAATACGTCAGAAACTCACCCAAATGAGCGAATTCTGTGAGATTCCATGTGTTATACTGGATTCCATTTTGTGTTAATTCCGTGATTCCGTCTACAATTTCTACATTGTGGAAATCATAGGGCCCTACAAATATCAGTCTTATTTTTATTAATTTTTTTACACACCTGGGAAATTTTTCCACGTACCCCCTGTAATATGCTCGCGTACCCCTGGTTGGGAATTGTTTCAATTAATTTGTGAACAAAACGTTTCTGCACAGCTAGTCGTAAACCCTTTTATCAAACTAGAATGGACCGGTCTAAAAGCTGGAGGGGGGCAGGTTGTGAAGCAAGTGGTTTGGATTAGGGATGCACGATATATCGGCATTAACATCAGTATTGACCGATATTGGTCATTTTTTAGAATGTATCAGTCCGATATGTAAAACTGGTTTTGTTTTTAATGCAAGCTAAAGCTGGGTGCTCACCTAAGATAATTTTGTATTCTGGACACCAATGTCCAGGAATCAGTGACAAAGCTGAAGCTGCGCTGGGGCTGGATTTAAATGTGAAAAAGAAGGATTAAAAGCATATGTCTCATTTAATATCTTTGCAGCAGCACCATATCCAGACACATGTTCATCTACATTCATATGAACTCAACAGACAGACGTTCTGTCATCTCGTCATTWAGAAGTCTTGTAATGATGCTGCACTTCAGTTTAAAATGAAGCACCAAGGTTTCCTTTTTTTSCAGTTCATTTACAATCCTAAAGGTCTCACCACTGAATGAATGAAACAGAATTTGAATAGACGATATGTATAAATTAAACTTCGCTCCAGTGTTGGCAGTGTGAGGTTTTTGATTGCTWACATCAATCTACATCATTCTTTAACATGATGTTAGCAGATTTATTGATGTCATCTCTAAGATAAGTGTTTCTATTTTCTTCCAGGTCCATTTCCCAGATGTGGAGCGAGTGGAGTGGATAAACAAGGTAAAAAAAATAATGCCTGGCATCTTGTCTTTTCAAATTGTTTGCTTGGACGACTCCCTCTTTCTTTCTTTCTTTCTTTCTTTCTTTCTTTCTTTCTTTCTTTCTTTCTTTCTTTCTTTCTTTCTTTCTTTCTTTCTTTCTTTCTTTCTTT